GGCTTCATACCGTGGCTGGAGGGATGCAGCGTCCAGCCGTGCAGTGGGCTTCATGCCGTGGCTGGAGGGATGCAGCGTCCAGCTGTGCAGTGGGCTTCATGCAGCGTCCAGCCGTGCAGTGGGCTTCATACCGTGGCTGGAGGGATGCAGCGTCCAGCCGTGCAGTGGGCTTCAGGCCGTGGCTGGAGGGATGCAGCGTCCAGCCGTGCAGTGGGCTTCATGCCGTGGCTGGAGGGATGCAGCGTCCAGCCGTGCAGTGGGCTTCAGGCCGTGGCTGGAGGGATGCAGCGTCCAGCTGTGCAGTGGGCTTCATGCCGTGGCTGGAGGGATGCAGCGTCCAGCCGTGCAGTGGGCTTCATGCTGTGGCTGGAGGGATGCAGCGTCCAGCCGTGCAGTGGGCTTCATGCCGTGGCTGGAGGGATGCAGCGTCCAGCCGTGCAGTGGGCTTCAGGCCGTGGCTGGAGGGATGCAGCGTCCAGCTGTGCAGTGGGCTTCATGCCGTGGCTGGAGGGATGCAGCGTCCAGCCGTGCAGTGGGCTTCATGTCGTGGTTGCCAGGAGGATCTGCTGGTGCCAAATTCACCCGTGTTCAGTAGGTGTACCTGTCCCCACTTGCAGCAGCAGGAGTGACAAAGTACAGACACAAAAATGACTCCTGAGAAGGGATGGGTGTTTACTGTCCTTGATGTGCCTCGAGGTGGGGACAGAGTGTCCCGAGCACTTTACGCCCACCCATTTCATGTTAGGGTGGCCCCTGGTGAGCTCCGAGGGGCATGGCTTTGCAGGTGAAGGGTGGGTGCCCAGGTTCACAGGGCTCCCCGGGTCAGGGGAGGGCTGGTGGGTGGTCCTCTATGAGCCAGGCCCAGTGGGGGCCCAGGACAGTGGAGATTCTGCCTCCGAGGTCGGCGGCTCGAACGCACATCTCAGGTGTGTGGGTTGCACCTTCCCTGCTGTCTGAGGGTGGTGGCTCTGCCTCAGCCTCGATTCTGGAGACAGTTAATCTTGGGCACCTGATTCTCCCTGCGTCCCACTCTCCTATTTCCTAACTGGATTGATTTAGGCCCGAGGACATGGTTGGCTCTGCACCCAAGTCCATGTGCTGGGGCCACGGAACCGGCCCCTTTCATCATAAAACCAGCGAGCTCTCAGCCCGCTCACCGCTCCACCGAGCCCGAAATGGTGACAGTGAAAGATGCTTATGACTCCTCCTGGAAATAATTCATAAAACTCTTAGAAACTTCCTCTTGGTGCTCTCCAGCTTTCCCATTTGGTGTGACAGGGGACAAAAAGCAACCTCTGCTCTGAGGCAACGGCCCCTTCATCACACAGACTGTCTGCAAAGGGGGCGATGCAGACCCACTCAGGCTGGGAAAGCCCATCTCCCGAGCAAAGTCCTCATTGACCCCGTGCGCATGCTCACTCAGTCGTGTCTGTCTCTTTGAGCCCCCATGAACTGTAGCCCGCCAGACTCCTCTGTCCATGGGATTCTCCTGGCAAGAATACTGGAGTGGGCTGCCACACTCTCCTCCAGGGAATCTTCCCGACCCAGGGATCGAACCCATGTCTCATGTCTCCTATGTTGGCAGGCAGATTCTTTACCCCTAGTGGCACCTGGGAAGCCCCATTGACCCATGGTCAAGGACAATTTCATTAGGAGAAAATCTAAGATCAGAGGCTGTGACTGCCTGCATTCATGGAGAAACTCATTCAAGTCAACAGTGGGAATATTAAGAAGAACACCTTCTGATGAGGGCAGGTGCTGGGGCCCCTGGTGGGGGTGAGGCGGTGTGGACAGAGTGCGTCTTTAGGGGTGCACTTGGGGGTGGGACCTGGCAGGCCGGCTACAGGGGTGGCAGCGGGCATGTGAGGGCCACTCGGGTGGACACCAGCCCCGGCCGGGTCCCCACGGCTGCCTCCTCCTCCTCAGGGTTTCTGATGTGACGCCGCACACAGGTGGCGAGGCGACGGCCCAGCGCGTCCTCGGGAAGGCGGAGCTTCTCCCTTCGGGGTGTGGTTTTCTGCGCGGTACTGCTACCGCCAGCTCTAGCTCGAGCACAGAGATGTGCAGGGTCACATCTCCTCTGACGTCCTTCCAACGTGAAGTAACTCTGGGCCTGTTGTCGCAGGAAGACGGCACATCATGTCCGGGAGCCTCTGAATGAGTCAGGTTTCGCGGCAAAGGAGACTAGAGGACGCAGACGGAGAGTCGACGCGCTGCAGTTACGGTGCTGGAGGAGACGCTTGAGAGCCTCTTGGACTACCAGGAGATCAAACCAGTCAATCCTAGAGGGAATCAACCCTGAATATTCACTGGAGGGACTGATGCTGAAGCTGAAGCCCCAGTACTCTGGCACCTGATGTGAAGAGCTGACTCGCTGGAAAAGACCCTGATGCTGGGGAAGATTGAAAGCGGGAGGAGAAGGGGGGACAGAGGAGGAGGTGGTGGAGGGCATCACCGACTCGATGGACGTGAGTTTGAGTAAACTCCGGGAGCTGGTGAAGGACAGGGAAGCCTGGCGTGCTGCAGTCCATGGGGTCACAAAGAGTCAGACACGACTGAGCACAACAGATGAAGTGCGGTTGCTCAGCAGGTAGGATGCTGGATCGGCTCATCCCGATGCCCAGGACTTGTAAGGACAAGCGTCCTAACAAGTGGGAGGCGGAGTTGGAAGGCAGAGCTCAGGGATGCCGGTGAGGACTCACTGCCTTGCGGATGAGGAGGGCCAGGTGCCGAGGGATTCAGGGACTCCAGAAGCGGGGAAAGGGGAAGGACAGAAGACGCTGCTCAGTCACGAAACTGAAGAAAGTCCTGCCATTTGTTACACATGAGCGGGCCTTGAGGTCGTTATGCTGAGGGAAGTCAGTCAGACAGAAAGACAAGATCTCACATGTGTGTGGACTCTTAGAAAGCCACACCTGTAGAAACAGAGAGCAGAGTGATGGATGCCAGGGCCTGCAGAGGGTGCAGAGGTGGGGCCAAGGGCACGAACCCCCAGCTCTGAGGGGAGTAAGTTCTGGGGGGACCTGATGGATCTCACGGTGATTGTAGTCAGCAAGACTGTTACAGACAGACTCTTAAACCTTCTTGTCACAGCGTGATTGCAGTGGGGCTGGGTGTGTCTCCCGGCCTCAGTGTGGGAACTACTTCAAGTGTGCATGCTAAGTCACTTCAGTCGTGTCCGACTCTTTGGGACCCCAAGGACTGTAGCCCACCAGGCTCCTCTGTCCATGGGATTCTCCCGGCGAGATTACTGGAGTGTGTTCCCACGCCCTCCTCCTGGGGATCTTCTGGACCCAGGGATTGAACCTGCATCCCCTGTATCTCCTGCATTGCATGCGGATTCTTTACCGCTGAGCAACTGGGGAAGCCGTCATTTCATAACCTACACGTGTATCATTATGCTGCGCACCTTACACGTACACAGTGTCATATGTTAACTGTATCCCATAAAGCTGGAAAATACTACTCATAATGTTGTGTTGAAAGATATAAAGTTCCCAAGGAAACATAAATTTCAAAATCAAAATTACTGACACTGATTTGAGAAGTAGACAATCTATATTAACATGGAAAAAAGTGGAAAACATTATCACATAATTACCTCAATAAAAGCCTCAGATTCTCCTCCCTCCCCCCAAAAAACAACTTATAAGGAGATTATCCTGGATTATCCGGGATGGTCCAATGTAATCACAAAGTTCTTAAAAGGAAAAGCATGATGGGGTCGGAGAGAAAGGCTGAGGAGGAGGGAGAGAGAGACACTGAGCAACAGAGACAGAGACAGAGAGATAGAGATGGAGACGCAGAGACGGAGATGCGGAGATGGAGACGCAGAGAGCCCAGACCTGGCCGCCGCGGGCTCAGAGCAGGTGGCAGGACGCAGGGCGAGTGGTGGCGGGTGCGCCCACTTCTCTACAAAACCCGACTCAGGGAAGTTCCGTGAGGAGCCCCCTGAGGGGGTCTTAGGGGTGTTGAGGGAAACTGTCTGCAGATATCTCAGTGCCGGTCTTAAATCAAAACGTTCTGCTCTTTCCTTCAGATGAGGATCCAGTGAGAAAGCCAAGGACCAGCAGAGGTGAGGCGGAGATGTGACCGTCACCCAACCCTGGGTATGCACAGCGGGCGTCACCCACACAAGCTGATTTTCAAAAGCAACTGTGTTCATTTTTATTTTTAATCCATATTCATAATAGAATATGTGGCGGCAACAATGATGTCTCCAGGCTACCAGAGAAGGAAGCTTCCAGCTCAGACGTGACGAGGAGGGAGGGTCCCTGAGCCCCCAGACTCCCGAGGGCCTCTCTGACCCGACGGTGGCTTGGGGGCTGTGCTGAGCCCAGGGCGCCCCGACCCCCAGAACACCCACCTCCACGCCTGTCATCTTTCCACCAGGGATGCCACCCCCCTCGACGCTGGTGCCAAACTGCCCGTTCCTCAGACGAGCCCTGTGATGCCTCAGATGCTTCTGGGTGATGATAATGTGTAACCATTCCCCATAAGAAGGTCCAGGTTTGAATGTCCTGCTCATCCAGGGGATGAGGAAACTTCAGAGGTTTGTACTTGGCTTTCCTCACTAGGGTCACACTTATCCCATGGACCAAGGACCCTAGAAGGGCACTGCACCTGCTATAAGTATGTTAGCCCTTTCATTTGCTGGGGCCTGGGGCACGACCAGTGGGTGGGCCTGTGGGCCTGGTGGACACCCCCTAATCCAGGTCTGGGCTTGGACCCCATTTTCTACCCGACTCCCACACGTCCCCTCTAATGTGGGGCCATGATGACTCTCCACGTCCCTCCCTGGACACCAACAGAAACTCCGGCACTGTGTCCACGGTCACTTCTCCCCTGCGTGTGGTCATGTGGGTGAATGTGGACGGATCAGGGACCCTCACGAGGGAGCTTGCCCCGGTGTCACAGGGCCCTTACTCCTGGGGCTGGGCAGGGCGGTGGAAAGATTTGCCCTGGTTGATTCAGATGAAATCGCCTGTGATGGTGTATAGATGTTGGTGGAGAACAGCCATCGGTTTGCGTCTCTTCCTGGAAAACGTCCCAAGTTTCGTCCCCGCAGCTCCAGCCTGTGGGAGTTCGCGGGGAGCTGGAGGGACAGTGGAAGGGGGCAGCGGGGGCACCTGGCTCCTTCAGGGCCAAAGGATTTTCCCCCAAGTTATCGGCTCTCTCTGTACCAGGTAAATTTGCATTTACTGAGATCTGCATCAGGACTGTGTAATGGTTTTGTCTCCTGCTAGTATTCCCTCGGGGCCTGGTCCTGGGATTCACTTCGATGAGGTTTGCAGATCCGTGCTTACCCAGCTGCTCTGAGGGGAAGACGTGGAGCCTGTGCCTGAAGGGAGGAAGGACTGTGTGGACACGGCCGTGCCAGCTCCATAAACGACGTGATGACCCGGGGCCCAGGGCTCCGCCAGGCCCCACGGGCACCCTCCTCTGACCATTCCTAGAACCTCCAGCAATGGATACTGTCTCTGAAGGCAGCAGTTCAGCTTGTTGAAAATCTCTGTCTTTAGCGAATGAATCCGATTTCTCCTCCACGGAAGCCTGTCTGAGCGGGCAGGGGCTCACAGGCCTCCAGTAACCTGCTGAGCTATGCTCTCATTCAGGAGTGTGTGTGTGTGCGTGCACGTGTGTGCACGTGTGTGTGAGTGTGTGTGAGCATGTGTGTATGAGAGTGTGTGTGTAAGAGTGTGAGTGTGTGACAGAGTGTGTGTGCATGTGTGTGAGTGTGTGAATGTGTGTGAGAGAGAGTGGGTAAGAGTGAGTGAGTGTGTGTGTGCACGTGTGTGTGAGTGAGTGTGTGTGCATGTGTGTGAGTGTGTGACTGTGTGAGAGAGTGTGGGTGAGAGTGTGTGAAAGTGTGAGTGAGTGTGAGAGAGTGTGTGAGTGTGTGTATGAGTGTGTGTGTGCACATGTGTGTGTGAGTGTGTGTGGGCACGTGTGTGTGAGTGAGTGTGTGTGTGCGTGTGTGAGTGTGTGAGTGAGTGTGTGTGCACATCTCTGTGTGAGTGTGTGTGCACGTGTGTGTGAGTGAGTGTGAGTGTGTATGAGAGTGTGTGTGCACGTGTGTGTGTGTGCGTGTGTGAGTGTGTGTGTGAGCCGGTGGAGGCGGGGAGGCAGGGCTGCGGCTGAGGACGTGGACTCCTGGATGTGGTAACAGGGCTGGGTCAGCAGGCAGGGGCCGTGGATGGGGCGCCAGCCGGGGACCGGCAGAGGAAGACAGTGAGCCCGGGGTCCCCTGCGCAGATCCTGGGGGAGGCTCTTTCCGCAGGGGGAAGAGGCGCACTGTTTCCTGGAACGTGGGGGACACAGGGATGGGACACCTGGCTCATCCCTGGGATCCAGGGCGTCCTGTTGTTACTCGGGCTCCCCGGCGCTTCTGCTCCAGTGCTGACAGAGGGAAGGGCTGTGTGTGTGCATGTGTGTGTCGGTGGGGTCTGAGGACTCCGTTTCCTTGCTTCTTCCTCAGATGAGGCTGAGGACCTAGAATCTGAGATCACTGCCTCAACTGCGTCCAGCATGTCGGAGCCCTTCCGACCAAGACCCGAGCACCGGGTCAAAGTCAGTGAAGCCAAACCACTCCCATGACTTACTGGCCTAACCTTGACTTCTATTTTCAGTTCTGAAGGCAGAAAACACCATTTGTGCATAACAGTGACTCCACGCAGGCTCACACCCACTAACCCGCCTTTCTTCCTTTCAACCCCAGCAAAGCTCAGAGACTCACACAGACCATGTAAGAAGTCTCCCTTGGAGAGAGCACAGTCTCTCTATGGAAGAGATGCACGTGGCTGCCCGGAATTGCCTGCAGGATGGGGGGTGGGGGGTGCATGGCCAGTGGACAGGTGGCCTCTGGCCTCTCCCAGCGATGGGGAGATGGGCGGGGAAGATCTGAACGAACAGGCAGGAGAGGAGGGGCAGTGGCCAGGGCCACGGGGGGCAGTGCATAGGAGCCCCCAAGGGCCAGGGACAGGCGAGTGGCCTGGCTGTGAGTGGTGGCCCCACGGGGACCAGAGAAGGTGATGGGCGAGATTGGGGAAGGACAGGAGCGCTGGTCACCAAGCAAGTCAGCGAGGAGACCCGACCAGTTCCCAGCAAGACACAGAGGGCGCTGAGAAATACACCTGCCAAAATATCAAACATACTGAATGCTCCAAGTTTACCAAAAAAATAAATTTTAAGGACCGTTTGAAGAGCATCCTCCTTGTGACTCCGTTCAGACGGCATCTTCTTGTGTAAAGCAGTTTTCTGATGCCTTATGCACAAGCACACTTGCTTCATAAACACAGTGATAAGAATATGCTAAGTTCATAAGGAACTGAGCCACTTTGTGACAGATGATTTTCAACAAATGGGGCCTTTCCTAAACATCTGACAAGGAGTGTATGTTTATTGGATATATTCAGGGACTATAGTAAAGTGATGCTTAAAATTCTCCAAGCCAGGCTTCATCAATATGTGAACCGTGAACTTCCAGATGCTCAAGCTGGTTTTAGAAAAGGCAGAAGAACCAGAGATCAACTTGCCAACATCCGATGGATCATCGAAAAATTTCCAGAAAATTTTCTATTTCTGCTTTATTGACTATGCCAAAACCTTTGACTGTGTTGATCACAATAAACTGTGGAAAATTCTTCAAGAGATGGGAATACCAGACCAGCTGACCTGCCTCTTGAGAAACCTGTATGCAGGTCAGGAAGCAACAGTTAGAACTGGACATGGAACAACAGACTGGTTCCAAATAGGAAAAGGAGTACGTCAAGGCTGTATATTGTCACCCTGCTTATTTAACTTATATGCAGAGTACATCATGAGAAACGCTGGGCTGCAAGAAGCACTAGCTGGAATCAAGATTGCCGGGAGAAATATCAATAACCTCAGATATGTAGATGACACCACTCTTATGGCAGAAAGTGAAGAGGAGCTAAAGAGCCTCTTGAGGAAAGTGAAAGAGGAGTGTGAAAAAGTTAGCTTAAAGCTCAACATTCAGAAAACTAAGATCATGGCATCTGGTCCCATCACTTCTTGGGAAATAGATGGGGAAACAGTGGAAACAGTGGAAACAGTGGCTGATTTATTTTTTTGGGCTCCAAAATCACTGTAGATAGTGATTGCAGCCATGAAATTAAAAGATGCTTACTGCTTGGAAGGCAAGTTATGACCAACCTAGACAGCATATTAAAAAGCAGAGACATTACTTTGCCAACAAAGGTCCGCCTAGTCAAGGCTATGGTTTTTCCAGTGGTCATGTGTGGATGTGAGAGTTGGACTGTGAAGAAAGCTGAGCACTGAACAATTGATGCTTTTGAACTGTGGTGTTGGAGAAGACTCTTGAGAGTCCCTTGGACTGCAAGGAGATCCAACCAGTCCATCCTAAAGGAGATCAGTCCTGGGTATTCATTGGAAGGACTGATGCTGAAGCTGAAACTCCAGTACTTTGGCCACTTGATGCGAGGAGTAGACTCACTGGAAAAGACCCTGATGCTGGGAGGGATTGGGGGCAGGAGGAGAAGGGGATGGCAGAGGATGAGATGGCTGGATGGCATCACTGACTCAATGGACATGAGTTTGGGTAAACTCCGGGAGTTAGTGATGGACAGGGAGGCCTGGCGTGCTGCGGTTCTTGGGGTCGCAAAGAGTCGGACACGACTGAGCGACTGAACTGAACTGAACTGGTGCGTGTCTACTCGGGTTGGTTTAGAGAACTGTTCATTAGCAAATCCCTTTTTTCTTCATGTTTTTCAAAATCGACCTGGAGGTCCCAGCACGACAGTGGCTTGCGTGCGGACCTGCAGGGCGAAGAAAGAACCTTTCAGCTATGACTCCTGGGCTGAGCACGCTGTGGACCTTAACCCAGCTGGGCATCTGAGAGTGGGGGCTACTTTGCCCCACTTTCCTGATGAAACAACCACCTTCCCCGCACAGCTCCCTGCTCTCATGGGGGCTGTGGAGAAGGCAGGGGTGGGGCTGGCAGACTGGGGGGCCCGGGGTCAGGGGCATGGGCGTCTGGTGAGGCTGGAGGATGCACACAGCAGGAGTCGGGGGCCCAGGGTCGGGGAGGGAAGGCAGCCATCTCTGGAGGAGCATCGGAGGTAAAGGTGGCAGAGAGGGTCTTGCCCGGGCTGTGGGTGCTGACTTGGTGAGTGGACAATCCTTGGAGTCCTTGGAGGTGTGCGCTGTGGTCCACAGGGCGTCGGGGACTGGTGTTCCGAGCGGGGAGTGTGTCCAGGGCAGGCGTGGGGTGGGGTCTGACCCGACGTGCCCCAAGTCCCCTCCAATGTGATGCATTTGAAGTCTTAGCCCTGTTCTTAGAGGGGTGTGTGTGAACATCCTGTCTTCTGAGTGAGGAGGCAGGAGTTTGTCCACTGAGGACAGGTCTGTGATGCCTGCAGACACTGGCGTCCCCTCACGGTGGGAGGAGCCCTTGATAGCTGGCTGTGTGGTGGGACCAACGTGGCCCACCCTGGGGAGCACGGATCAGGGGACCCGGCCACCCAGAGCATCAGGTGTGTGCTCAGTCAGGGCCAGGACCCGGAGGCCTCTCAGGGAGGTGTGGCGTGCAGAGGCCACAAAGCAGTTCCCTTGGGGACAGGGCGGGGCAGCAGCCCGAGGAAGCCCAGCATCCTCTGAGCTGGGGACAGAGTGCACACTCGGAGTCGGGGACAGTCATCACCTGCTGAGACCTGAGGAACATCACTCCTTTTTATTCATGTTCATACGAGGGAGGAATGCTGTGGTTCTGATTTCCAGTTGGAGGGATCACAAATGCAGTATGTTTCCTTCTTTGAAAGGAAGGTGCTAATACATTTGCTTGTTCTCCATCAATCCAGGTTTCCTCTCCTCAAGGGAAGGAGGACTCTGTAGAGAGGAAGACTTGGGTTGCTGGAGAAGATCTCAGCTGCTTCCTTTTAACAGTTCCTCATCATGAGCCAGGCTCTGGGCACAACCAGTTTCTACGCATCATCCTTGTTAAACCTCACAACCCCTGCAAAGCAGACACTGTTAATCACCATCCCCAGAGCTACCCCCGGAGAAGCATCCTTCCAACCCAGCCTCGGCTCACACATCGGCTGACCGCTCTTTCTAACCGCCCCCTGAGCACCCTACCCTCTTATTCGATTGTCCTTTAACACACGATCTCCAGCTGACATCCTGCCTCCCGGCGGATGCTGCCTTCCGCCAGACTCCCGGGGTCCTCCAGGGACCCCTCCTTCTCAGGGTGTCCCCAGCCCACCACCCTTCTGCCGGTGGTCACTGCCCAGCTGGCTTGTCTGCGGGGACCTCTCTCCTCCCAGACAAGCAGAAGGCGAGGTTCGCCTTTGTGTATAAGGGCACAGTTGTAGAGAGGCTCTATCTCCTTTGTCTGTAGAGAGGGAAAAATACCCTCTGCCTTACTGGATTTATGGTGTAAGTGTATAGTCTTGGCTGGTCTTCAATCCACGGCACCAGAGGCTCTGCCGCTGCATGAATGATTGCGGGGACTGTAGCTCTGGCAGAAGTAGATAAATCCTAGGCCAAACTTTCCCCTTTGTCTTCCCCTTTATTTCCAGAAAGACCTCCACGTGATGGCCACCTGTAATACATGCAGAGCATCTGAGCTTCCGTGGTGGGCGTGGCTCCCAGGCTGGCCCCAACTTCTTTAGCATGTGCATTTCTTGGCCTATATATATATATATATTACTTCTTTTTGCCAATGAAATGATTTAAAGAAATGTATACCCTTGCCTTTGGAAGGCAGGTATGCTTATCACTATACCACCCACGCAATACCCTTGACTTTGACAAACTAAAATCTAACACTTTGGAATAATGTGCCTGCAATTCCCTTGCCTGATTACTTGTTCAACTTACGTAAAGAATTCACCGGTGTAACGTCAGCATGCTCACGAGTATACACATCTCCGTCTCTCAGGCACAGGCCGGGCAGGGAACCAGCGCAGCACAGGTTGACTTAGGTAACCTCGGCGGGCTCTGGGCATCAGGTAGACTTGTCTGAGGTGATACAGGGTGGGAATGTCGGCTGGATGTGTGAGAATCAGAACTTGTAGGCGGGGTTTGGAGTCCGCCTTGGTGGATGAGGGGTGGGTTCACCTGTGGACCTGTGTGGATTCTCTTAGAATCAGCCGGCCCTGGAGGTACAGACTCTCTCGAGTAAAGGGCTGAGGGGTATGCAGTTGGGGGTAGAGGTTGATGGGGTGGGTGTTGAGGGGATGAAGTTGCAGGGACGAGGTTGAGGGGATGTGGGTGGGGACACTCCAGGGTCCACTGCTCTTGGGTTAGCAATTCCAAGTTCACAACATAGACACCCTCTCCCCTCTCCTTCAGGGGGGCTTGGGGAGACCCCCGTAGCTGAAGGCGGGGTTTCAAGGTTTAAATTTGTTTGGCTTTTAGTGTTATGGGGCCTCTCAGGTTCTTGGGGAAAGAGGAAGATTTAATATTTAAAAAAAAATGATGGTAAACCTTCTGGAATATTCTGTATAAACAGTTAGACTTTTTTTTTTCCCATAAAGAGAAAACTGTAATTGTTGGGGTCAGGGCAAACATGTAAGCAGAGAAGAACTCCGTGTCCAATGCTCTTTCTTAACAGTGAAGGAAGTGAAAGTTGCTCAGTCATGTCCAACTCTTTGCAACCCCATGGACTATACAGTCCATGGAATTCTCCAGGCCAGAATACTGGGGTGGATAGCCTTTCCCTTCTCCAGAGGATCTTCCCAACCCAGGGATCGAACCCAGATCTCCTGAATTGCAGGACAATTCTTCACCAGCTGAGCCACAAGGGAAGCCCAGGAATACTGGAGTGTGTAACCTATCCCTTCTCCAGTGGATCTTTCTGACTCAGGAATCGAACCGGGGTCTCCTGCATTGCAGGCGGATTTTTTTTTTTTTTACCAACTGAGCTACCAGGGAAGCCCATGAGCGAAGGGTTCACATCTAACTGTAGCCCGGGAGGAATCACAGCATGTCAGCAGGATCCTGGTGGGGTCATCAGGCCCCGTGTGTCTCCATCCTCAGGGCTCCTCCCAGACAGTCTTTGCAAGAAGGAGGGAGACGTCTTTGTTCTGGTCAAGCTGCGCGATGCCCTTTATCCCATGGAGCCAGAGCGGCACTTGCAAAGCTGTTCAGTGGCCAGACCCGAGTCCGGGGAGTCCGGGACAGCGCCCAGGGACAGAGAGCCAGGTCCTCATGCAGGCTGTGCTGTTGACGGCAACCCGACGACTTCGTCCACTTGTCTAGAACTCATTTCCCTTCCTGAAAGTTGGAAGGGACCGGGCATAACAGATGTGGTCTGGGCGCCCTGCAAGGACCCAGGCCTCTGGGTGGTGATTCGCAGGACAGAGGCCAAGTTCTGCCTCTGTGCAGGGAGCTTCGACAGGCTGAGCCCCGAGCCCCGCCCCTCGTAAGGGCACCAAAGCTTGCACGTGCGGCCTCAGCCTCTCGTGTGCAGGGGTGTGTGGTGTGATCACAGAACAGGGCTGTTCTAGCACAGTTCAGGCCCCTCTAGCAAGGGGCACAGAACAGGTCAAGTCCACGGTCTGTGCAAGCCTGCCGCATCCCAGCCTTCCCTGGTGAGAAGGTGCTGAGGCGTGCAATCCTACCAAGGGCGGCAGACCCGTCTGGAACACCGTGTTTCTTCCCCGATGTGTCAGTTAAAGCAGTGACAAACCACGGGTTCCTCGAGTGGAGATGAAGACCCTCCTTTCAGACAGTAGCCATGAATCCATGATCTGAGTTAACGTTTTGAGGAGATCACGGCTCCGGGGGGACTTCCTCCCACATGGTGAGTTCCAGGGGCAGAAGGCCTGCCATAACAGCCCCTGCAGCCACAGAGCGCCTTACAGGATGAGGCTCGTTTCAGACGACCTGAAGGCTGATGACAGCAAGTAACTGGTCAGACACAGACCCTGGAAGACCTGCTTGCCAGCAGCGCTCTCGCAGTCCCTCTTTCTTGGTTCGGGGTCCCCTCCCCATCTATCCCCCTCTAGCCGCTGCCTGCGCTGTGCCAAGGGCTCCCGGTCACTGAGCAAGGGGCTGGGACGGGCTGCGCCTGCCAAAGCCTTGGTTTGTAAGCACTCACTGCTTCCTGGGTGGAGCCCTTTCTTCATGTTGAACCCAGCTAAATGATTTTCCAGCTAGCCCCAGAGGGGCTGCCGGCTCGCTCGCTGAGCCTGCAGAGTCCTCCCGGCTCCAGCTTTGTGCTGGCTCATCCCCTGGGGCCGGGCCGCGGCTGCCCACACCTGCATAAGGTGCGCACAGGATGTGCTCACGTCCTCCAGGAGGGCCTTCACAAGTCCTGCGGCCGTGTGGGTAAAGATGGGAGCGGCGAGGCAGGTGCACGGCTCTTGGGACTGGGTCCTGGACTGAGGGTCCCGGGGGCCAAGGGCCCCTTCAGGAGCCTAGAGCGGGGCCCCCCAGATGTGGGTGTACACAGCGAGAGCCTGCTGAGACGCAGAGTCTGACCTCATAGGCCTGCGGTGGAGCCCGAGAGCCTGCCTTCCTAGCGATAGCCGCCGGGTCACACTGACGCTGCGGACCCGTGAGTCTCACCCCCGGCACGAAGGACTGTGAGAGAGGGAACCACGAGCTACCGGAGCGTTTAAATGTAAATAAATTAAAGCAACAGCTTGGTTCTTCCGTGTCCCTGCCACACGGCCCCCCTGAGTGGAGCCGCCGCGCTGAGTGGTGCGGGGGCGCTTCTGTCACTGGGGACGCTCTCCTGGAGACGGCCGGCCGTGCAGGTCCGGGGCTTGGTGAGAGGAGACAGGTGGAGACACCACGTCAGCGGCGAGGCCATTCGCTGTATCATTCAATTATCAGAAGGGCGTCTGGATGAGCATCAGCAGTCAGACCAGGAGCTGTCAGAGAAAATTAGAACAGCTGCTCATTTCATCTGAGTCCATCTTCCTCGAGAAATGATGGCAAGTTGGGAATTCTAATTGATCTCATTTCTGGCGTTTTTCACACGAGTGGATGCCGACAGTTTAATGGCGACCGGGAGGTGCTGTCCTCTCCTGGTCAGTGCCAGTTGCATCCTGTGCTTCCGGTCCGGAGCAGGCGGCAGGGGTCTCTGTTGCTGGCCCAGGTCCAGGCAGAGCTTGGACCTGCTTGGATGTGACCCCGCTCCAAGAGCAAGGATGGCCCCTTGCTCATCCTGCTCCAAGCCCACTCTCCTGAGCTGCTGTGAAGCTTGTGGCCGATAAGTCTGTCCCTGGCTTCTGTCTCCTCAAATCCATCCTCCCTGAGCTGCTCAAAATCAGTAAGACCTTCATCAAACTAACCTTAAAAATGTACATTACGGCCAACGTGATAAGGCAGGAAACTGAAGAATGAGACCTATTGGACAGGAGAAAGCCAACATATTTGCAAGCAATACGATTGAACACTGGGACACACTCATGAGGAATTAGTGAAGATCTATTAAAGCTGCACACACATCACACACCCACACAAGTTCTGCACGTTGGCCAGATTGTTTTGAAAGAATGTCATTTCCCTCTAATTCCAATAGGGACATACATTACTACAATATAAAATATAACACAGCATGACAGAGAGTTCAGGCCCCAGCGCCCCTTGTGGGGCCCATGTCCTTCTGATCCAGGCCCGGCCCGTGGGCGGTGTGAGGCTGGCTGGCCCCCGATGCGCCAGGCCCACGTCTCCCTAGAGTCGGGCTGCTTGGAAATGCAGCCCAAAGCGGGTGGTAAACTCCACCTAAGGCTAATAATATAATATAACATAATATAATTAGACACAGAACTCATCACAGTGGCTCCCTGGGTCGAGGCGGGCAGGCTCAGCTGGCAGCCTCCCCAGCCTCCACAGGACTGTGTGCACAGCTGGACCTCCATCCCCGGGTAGCATAACTCACTTGTCCCCGAATCCTTATCTCGGGGTCTGCTTCTTGGGTGACCTGACCCTAGACATACTCTTCTCGGCCCCCTGAGGCTTCCAGGCCCCACTCAGCAGTGCAGGCCAGCTGGACGGACTCAGCACGGACACCTGCCCATCAGTTATCTGCACTGGTCCCCATGTGGCCCTCAGCCTTCTCACGGGGGAGCCATTAGATTGTCAAGGATGAGTCACGCCATATTGGGATGTACAGGGTGGGGGGCCTGGACCCAACCAACGTCTGCCTCCCATGCCCCGAGACCACGATCCTGGACGTGGAGGTCAGCTGACAGGAGCGCTAAGAGCTGGGGAGGGTTGGGGACTTGGTTCTGTCAGCTCCTCTTACCGGTGGGACACTTTGTTCCAGGGAAGGACGAGGGTCCCCGGGCCTGACTCCTGACTCCTCTGATCCCTCAGGGCTTCTGGGGCAGGAGGCGGTCAGGCCAGTGCCCTGGGCAGGGGCATAATCAGACCTGGAGCCTGGAGCAGCTAGGGTGCCTGGAAGGCCAGTGTCCTGGGAGAACATAGGGTGTTTCCCTTCCACTTTGTCAGTCTACTGACAGGCCTGGAGCCAGACCCGTCCCCGAGGGGACTCGGCACTGAGGTGTCAGGACCAGAATGAGTCAGCTGGATTCGAGGACCTTACCAGCCAGACGTAGAGGAAGACAGATGCTGTGCGATTTCACAGATACAGATCCCTCGGTTCAGTTCAGTCACCCACTCTCGTCCGATGCTTTGCAACCCCACGGACTGCAGCACACCAGGCTTCCCTGTTCATTACCAATTCCCAGCTCCCAGAGCTTGCTCAAACTCGTGTCCATTGAGTCGGTGATGCCATCCAACCATCTCGTCCTCTGTCGTCCCCTTCTCCCCCTGCCTTTAACGTTTCCCGGCATCAAAGCAAAGGTAAATGCTTTGGAGCAATTCCCTGTGTCCTCTGAACCTGCCAGCTTTGTTCTAAACACCCCGATTCTCCCAAATTACAGTTCAGGCCCTCCTGCTTACGCCGTCGCTCGGGCACTGGGGGCTGAGGCGGTGGTCCAGTGACTGGGGAGCGCCAGCCCGGGGCTGGGTCACCAGAAGGGGTGCCGGCTTTGGCTCGCGGTGGGCTGTGACTGCTGCCTGAGAATCCTTGAATCAACGAATTAGCTAGATGATTCTTGAAAGCCAGTTATTACATTTTAATGACGACATATCTGTGCTTTGCCACAGAGTCAACCGACCAGGGCTGGCTGAGACCCAGAGCCTCAGCGGGACGGAATGGAATGGATTCCAGATTTGCCGGATGGCGGCTTCTGGGTATGGGGCCGCACACAGACCCGGGAGTCCAGGACCACCCACTCCCTCAGGAACCAGGTCCAAGCAGGCAAATGAGGAGACACCAGGCACAGCCTAAAATCCTGGAACTCTTATGAGGATGAAATGCCATCCAGTGGAATAGCCAGCCTTGAGATTACCTTCTCCCTGCCCCGCCCCTCTTTAAAATCTGTGGCCTTCCTTCCTCTTTAGAACTCCCTTCTCCAGGGTAGCAGGCAGGTTTTGTGGGGTCTACCATGCTGTTACCGCACAGGCATGATTTCCTGAAAGTACCCACAACAGGTATTGTTTCAAATAGCAGCAAGCACTTATTTTTTTTTTTTAAATGGGCATAAGGGAGTTGTTCTCAGGATTCTACATTTATCGGTATATTTGGAAGCACCCCCATTTGCCTCCCCCAGTCCTATCATGGCTCTGACACCCCTCCACCCACACTAAATGTCAGTGAACCAACCTCCCCCAAGAGCCTCTAGAGCCGGAACTCGGAAAACTGGGCTTCCTGGTCTTGACTCTGACTGTAACCACAGGCTTCGTCATGTTTGCCTTTAAGGAAGAAAAAATAACATGAACCACTTTTTCCAGGAGAAGGATGAAAAAAAAACCAAAAACTCTGCAGTATCTGCAGCATTATTATCAGGAATCATAAAAACGATGTGGAATGTGTGACTGAGAGGCGGGTTTCTGAACAGCCTGTGCGCACCAGACTACAGGGTTGATCTTGGTTTCCGCTGTCCCTGAAGCCTCCGGGGGGCTGCCGCCACGCCGGGCTGATGGCTGTCTCATGGTGTGAGTGGGGGACCCGGCTCCTTCCAGGGCCTGGGGCCCCGAGAGGACCTGCCTTCCCGGCGCCGGCCCCCACTTCCCCCATGCCCAACTCCCAGGCGGGGATCTAGAGGCGAGCGGCCGGTCCCTCTTGACGCTGTCCTAGCGCCTGGATTTATTGTGTGAAATAGCTGCTGTCGGGCCCGTTTTGAAATGTCAGGGAATGAGAAGAGCCTTGAATATTTATAGATGTCGGGACCCACTTTCCGGCTGCCTTAGAGAGGAAAATGTGAGATGCTGGGAGTGGAGGCAGCCTGCCTTGCACCCCTCGGAGCAGGGTGCGGGCAGTGGGCTCTGGACTGGGGCCTCCCCAGGGCCTTTCCCGGCCTCTGCCAGGGTCTGGTGCCCGGACCCTGCACGGCGCAGGCCTGAAGGGTCTTTCCATCTCCCCCCCTGCCTCTCCTTCTCTCACCTTGTTCTGAACTATTGATATTTGGACGGAGCAACTTATTTGAGAAGCTAGACCAGCTCTGGACCTGGAGGGCTTGGCCTGATTCCTGGAGAAGCAGCCCCCAGCATCCCCGGAGGCACAGACCACGTCCCGGACGGCCCGAGACGCCAAGCTTGGAGAGATGGACACAAAGGCCAAGAGACGGCCTCGGACCTTCGAGGGCTGAGTCTCAGAGCATGCAGCACAGTGGTTAGAGCGGTCCCAGCATGTCCCCTGAATAATCACCAGGGGAAGAGGCGGGGCCACCAGGGTGTGAAGCCTCAAGAGCTCAGGGCAGCCGGGCTGGGAGAGCGGCTGGTAAGAGGCAGTTTGCTAAGAGCTTCCTTGCCCTGACACTCTGCGGTCAGGCCGGTAACCGGGCTCTCACAGGGGGGCTTCCACAGCCAGTGGCTGGGGTGGTGGAGCCGGGACCCAGCCCGGCCCGCCAGCGCTGGGGGTATGCGGGGTAGGGGGCATTGCTTTGCCGGCTCACCAACTCCTCCTGGCCTTGTGGTGGGGTTACATTTCCTGCCCCCGAAGGTGTCAGGTGGGCCTTGAGAACCTGCTGTGATGCTATATTCCGTGAGAAGTGGCCCCACGTCTGGGCAGAAACTGGGGAGTGATGTGTGGTTCCCCTCTCCTTGCCAGGCAGGCTGGACCGCTGGGGGCTTCTTTGGGAGCCTCATGAGCGCAGGCCCCTCCGAAGGCGTGACCTTTCTTGGGACTCCCCCAGGGACCCCTGTACCCTGAGTTCTTTCCGCCAGCTCTGGTGGGGACACAGCGCCTCCCGTCCCCGCGTGGGGGCAGGAGCTCTCTTCCCTGGCCTTGCAGGGTCTCACCCACCCGTGGGCGGGCCACTGCCGGCCGAGGCCTCGGGGGTCCCCTGTGGTCCACTTTCTCTGCAGCGGGCCCCCCCACCCCCGTGCCCCGTCCTGCACATCCCGGCCACCCAGCCCTCTTCCGGAGAGGAGTGTGAGCATCCACGGCCCCTCCTGCTCTGCTTCCCGGGAGCCGCCTCGGCTGTGAGCTGGGGAATTATAGGCTAACCTCCAGATTCTCCTCGCTCCCGGATCTCAGTTATCTGCTCCGTTCTGCACAATATCTGAAAGCAGAAACTCATACATTTTGTCGGGGTTTCTACTTTTGCAGAGAGGTCTGTTCCCATGGCAATTAGTCCTTCATGGAGGTGGAAGAAGCCAGGTGGGATAGGTTTTTGTTATTTGGTTTATTTTTCTTTAAAAGTAATTTTTTTCCCCAGACCTATTTGATCGGTCCATTTGCTCTTTTTTTTTAAATTAATTATTTTAATTGGAGGCTAATTACAATATTGTGGTGGGTTTTGCCATACATTGACATGAATCAGCCTTGGGTGTACATGTGTCCCCCATCCTGAAGCCCCCTCTTCCCTCCCATCCCATCCCTCAGGGTTGTCCCAGTGCACCGGCCCTGATCACCCTGTCTCATGCATTGAACCTGGACTGGCGATCCGTTTCACATATGATAATATACATGTCTCAATGCTGTTCTCTCAAATCACCCCACCCTTGCCTTCTCCCACCATTTGCTCTTCTTAAAGAACAAGGTTTGCATTCTCCAGGGTAACCGCCTCCTCCTCAGCTCCCCAGCTCGGGGTCGTATTCTCAGCGCTGACCACAGGGCCTGGGGTTCCTTTGTCCGCTCCCCCGGTCGTCTGTGGAGCTCCTGGAGGCAGGATCCGGACTTTCCAGCCTAGGACCACGGCGGCCAGTAGCACCTGGCAAGTGTGTGAGTGCAGAGTTTGGAGAGGCACAGGTGACGGATATAAACTGGCCTGAGGCGGAGCAGACGCTCCTGTCTTCATGCAAAGCCCCTCCCTTGTCCCGTGGGTACCGGCCGTGCTCCCAGCTGTGCTCCAGGCACCTGAACGCCCAGAAACTTTCTACCCCTCATCCTCCTCTTAGCAAGCACGGGCTCTTGGAGCATGGAGGTCCCAGGGGCATGGAGGCCCTGACCGGAAGGTGTGACAGGCCTAGGAAGGATGGCTTCAAAAACTAAGTTAGTGGGGGGTGCTGTGACTCCTGCAGGAAAGAGAGGGTCTGGCTCTGCCTTGGGTCCCCCAGCTGGGCGTGTCTGCCCAGGCTGTGAGAATCTGAGAACTGGCCCAGGGAGCCCTGAGGCATGAGTGGGACCTGGACCGTGGGCCTCCTGCAGGCTCAGAACGTGGCAATGTGGGGCTGCCGTCCTTGACTGTCCTGGTGTAAGCTCCTAGCTGGGCGCTCAGGGCTGTGAACCAAAGTTCGAGGCTGTCTGGGGCTCGGGCTGGAGGAGGCCGATCACCAGCACTGCCTGGAGGTGCTCCGGGCTGCGTCCTTAGTGTGGGGCCAGGCTGCCTGGGCTTCTTAGAGCCAAGCGGCAGAATGCCTGGGGTTAGCGTCTGTGAGCTGATGAAACAGCCGCCTCGCCGTGTATTGCGCCCTCTGGGAGCCAAGTCTGCCACCCTTGGGAGTGCTGTGCAAAGGGGATGGGTCCCGAGTGCTGCTGCGGCCTGACAAGCCAGAGGTCATTCCTGCCGGCTCACTGGGAACCCTGTGCCACCAGCCATCTCGCCCCCTGGTGTTGAGGAAGGCCTGAGACACGGAGGGGAGCACGATTTGCTCAAAGCCCACAGTCCCTGGGAGAGACACTGAATCCATAGCCAGGCTTATTTCCTCAGGTGAAGGAAACGCAAGGCTTTCAAGGAGCTATCGAGGTCTGCCTGGTGGTCAGGAAAAAGATGCCGATGGCGCGTTAAAATGAAGAGGAGGATTTTCACCCATCCATCCGTCTGTCTGTCCATCCATCATCTATCTGAAACTGAGCAGGACCCTGGGGGGCCACCCTAGGGACAGATCCCCGCCCACCATATTCTCTGCCTCTTGTTTATAGAAACCAGCTCTCGACTTAGCCTCCTAGGTCTTCCCAGAGTTCCAGAGAAAATTTAATCAGGAAAGAAGAAAATGTAGAGAAAGGAAAACAGTCAAGAAAGACAAAATAATAATAGTTTAGCCGTAAAACAAAGTCAAGGACCTTTAACCTCTTCTCAAGGGCTACAGATAACATTATGAACAATGTCCTTGGCTTGTTTTCAGACATTAAACCCCAGCAGGTTGAAAAGTTAACTGTATGCTGACTACCGACATGTAGACCCCAAAAGGTTGAAATCAGGGGTTGATCATGTTTACTGTCAGAACATTAACACCACCCTGCTGCCTTTGTTGCTCTCGTTCAGTCACTCAGTCGTGTCCAGCTCTTTGCGACCCCATGAACTGCAGCACGCCAGGCCTCCCTGTCCATTACCAACTCCCGGAGTCCACCCAAACTCATGTCCATTGAGTCAGTGAAGCCATCCAACCATCTCATCCTCTGTTGTCCCCTTCTCCTCCTGCCTTCAATCTTTCCCATCATCAGGTTTTTTCCAATGAGTCGGCTCTTCACATCAGGTGGCCAAAGTATTGGAGTTTCAGCTTCAGTCCTTCCAACGAATATTTGGTGTTGATTTCCTTTAGGATTGATTTTTTTGATCTCCTTGCAGTCCAAGGGACTCTCAAGAGTCTTCTGCAGGACCACAGTTTAAAAGCATCAATTGTTCGGTGCCCTGCCTTCTTTATGGTCCAACTCTCACGTCCATACATGACCACTGGAAAAGCCATAGCTTTGACTAGAGGGACCTTTGTTGGCGAAATGATGTCTCTGCTTTTTAATATGCTGTCTTTGCTTGTCATAGCTTTTCTTCCAAGGAGCTGGTGTCTTTTAATTTCATGGTTGCTGTTACCATCTGCAGTGATTTTGGAGCCTAAGAAGATAAAATCTGTCACTGCTTCCACTTTTTCCACTTCTATTTGCCATGAAGTGATGGGACTGGATGTCATGATGTTTGTTTTTTGAAGTTGAGTTTCAAGCCAGCTTCTTCACTCTCCCCTTTCATCCTGTTACCTTACCACCAACCAATCTGGAGGATGTCCATGAGATGATCAGGCCCCCTTGTGACCCTCTTCTTTACCTTCCCTTTAAAAGCTCTTCTCTGAAAGGGTTTGAGAGTTTGGGTCTTCTGAGCATGAGTTGCCTGTTCTCCTTGCTTGACCCCACGCTGGGTGCCTTGCAACAAATGCTGCACTTTCCTTCACCAAAGCCTGGTGTCAGCAGAGTGGCTTCACTTTGTGCGGGTGAGTGGACCCAAATTTGGTTTGGTAACACCTCCATCCAATCATCCATTTAATCTTCCACCCATCTATCCATTCATCTAGTCATCCATCCGTTCATCCATCCCTCCTCCCTCAGAGTACTTCACTGAATGCCTGCCACATTCATGCACTGCTCCAGAACCAGATACGTATCCAACGTACAGTAAGCCCCAGAGAAGAGCTCCCTGCTCTCCCAAGCTTCTAGTGGATTTTATCTTCTCATAGGAAAATCAAACAAAATAATGTCAGCAACTATCACCACTTTTATGGCTGAATGGGTTCCCCCCAAATTCATGTGTTAACGCCTTAACCCTCAATATAATGATATTTGGGGGTAGGCCCTCTGGAGGTCCTTAGGTTAGATTGAGGTCCTGAGTGTGGCATCCTCGAGACTAATGCCCTTGTAACAGAAGAGACCCAAAAGAGATGGCTTTTTCTCTGTCCTGTGAGAATCCAGCAAGAAGGGGGCCTCTGCACCCCGGGAAGAGAGTTCCCACCAGGACTTAGCACGATGGCACCAGATCTCAGGCTTCCAGTCTCCAGAGCTGTGAGAAAACCAACTCAGAGTTTATTGTTTAAAGACACACATCTACAGCATTTTGTTAATGCAACCTGAGCCGAGACACCCACCGACAGCAAACAGGATGCCATGTGAAGGGTTTCCATGGCTTGCAGCAAAAACACTGGTCGACCAGGGAAGGCCTTTGTTCACATGGATGGATATGCATCCAAGTTTTAAATCAGATTTCAGAAAGCATCAAAGAGTCAAACCCATAGCTTTTATCTAGCTAACAAGCTACGGTGAAACTATTTGCTTACCCAAAACTCTGTCTGTGTTTTTCACAAAACAGCCCGATGCACTGATGGTCCCCAGTGTTAGTGGTCATTGATCCTGCTGTGAAGGTGCCTGGGCTTCACTTCAGATTCTGTCTGACTTTCATTCATTTTTTTTTTTCCTGCCATGTCGCATGGCTGGTGGGATCTTAGTTCCCTGAACAGGGACTGAACACGGGCTCCAGCAGTGAAAGTGTCAAGTCCTAACCCCTGGACTGCCAGGGAATTCCTTTTTCTTTTTTTGGCAATTCATCTTTAAATTAGTGCATGTTTTCTTGTTTAATGGCTTCCTAGAGGAGTGATTCCCTTGTGAAAGACAGGGAAGGCTGGCGTGCTGCCATCCGTGGAGTCACAGAGTCAGACATGATCAAGCAACTGGACAAGTAGAGGAGTGATTTTCACACGAGGAGAAAGGAGCTGAGTTTTGACTTCTTTGCTCAAGTGAACTCTGGAGTCAAAGTGGGGACCCGTGGGGGCTTCTCCAGGAAAGGCCTGTAAATCTGTCCTGCGGGTCTGAGGCCGGGGCTGGAAGGGACCCCGAAGGTCTCTTGGTCCAATATCTCTTTGCAGCCACGAGGAAAGCAAGGTTCGGGGGAGAGAGAGGGGCTTGCCAGGGGTCTCTGGTATGTTGTGCTTCCTGCCTGGAACTGTACGGGGTGGAACAAGACCTGGACTCAGACCCTCAGGGCAGAAGTGGGTCTGCTGTTTCTGTCTGTCCCTAGGAGAGGAGGCCCACGTTCCTCCCAGGAAAAAGGAACTGCAGGAAGGCCGGTAGCTGCATGTCGGCAGTCTCTTGCTGCAATCTTTTCTGAACCCACCTCCAGCCAGCTTCCTGGGCTCGCCTCCATGCATATGACACTGAAGAAGCAGCATCCTGGGGATCCTGAGAATGGTGCTCAGCTGCAGACTCCAGACTCCACAGGCTGCGGTGGCTGAGGGTGGGCTGTGGGGTCTTCAGCGGGTGGCTGGGTGGGTGGGGGTGGAAAGAATGATTCTTTTCTCTCCTCTTGTCTGAAATCACTTCAAGAAGACATATAAGACTTTCTAAGTTTCCTTCATTACAAGGAAAAAATGACAATTCCTTGATGTTTTCCCCCTAAGTTTAGGGCTGACGATGTTGAAGCTGGAAACTGGAACATACCAGGCTCTACTGACTGGCACAGCTTTCTCTGAAGTGGAGGCTCTGCTAGAAAATGTACTGCTTAGAGGAGATGGATTTTTGCAGAAAATGAAGTTAGAAGGGTGAGCTGTGTGTCATCTGTACATGGTGGTGGGCGGGGGTCCAAGACGGCCCCGGGATGCCCGCCTCTGTGGTGTGTGTTTCATCACCCCTCCCTTCGAGTGGGGAGAACCTGCACAGATGTTGGAATCTTTTTCCCACGGTGAGGTTCAGTGCAGTACATGGCAAAGGTGGAGGGAATTTTCAGATGTGGTTAAGGTTCCTAATCAGTTGCCCTTTAGCTAATCAAGAGGGAAATCACCCTGCGCAGCCCTGACCTAATCAAGTGAGGGCTTAAAACTAAGGTTTTGGAGCTGGCCTTTGAAAGGCCTGACAGCCACGTTGTGAACTGCCTCTGGAGGGGCCACAGGCCAAGACCAAGGGTGTGTCCCAGGACGGCATCTTGAGTTCAGCCTCCTGGGGTCCCGAGCAGAGGACCCTGATAACCCATGCCTGGACCCATGGAAACCAGGTGAAACTAATTCTGCGTGTTGTGTTATTATTAACTTAAATTATTATTTTTTTGTTGAAGGATAACTGCTTTACAGAATTTTGTTGTTTTCTGTCAATCCCATGCATGAATCAGCCATAGGTACACATGTATCCCCTCTGTTTCGAACCTCCCTCCCATCTCCCTCCCCATCCCAACGTTTACATTTTTAAAATGGGCATTTTTCAGTCAGCATAATTCTCTAGAGGTGGAGTGACGTTTCCGTGGGTGGGAACAGCGTTCCTTTTTCCTGAT